CTTTGTTCAATTGATGCATTTTTATTTTCATATTGACTTGCTAAATCGTGTTTTTCATGTACCATTTTATTTTATAGATCAGAAGAACATACATAACGAATTACCTCCGAAAATTGAGTCTTTCATGTTGTTGTTGTTGTTGTTATTGTAGCAGCATACAAATTCCCCAAAGAGTTTTTGGGGAGTGTTGCTGGAGTGACAGTCCTTGGCCAAATATAAATCTGGGTCGTTCCGGTTACGCAGACCCGACTGTCGAGTTTCTTTGCAAAGACATAAAAAATCGGTAAAATTTTGGCTGAGTTATTAAAATTTTATTTAAACGAATCTTTGAAAGTCCAGAAACAGCATCAAAGCTCTCATAATTACGGTAATTTATTTTATTTTTTTTTTTTTTTGTATACAGATTTTTTAAGCTTGAACTGTTTTTGTTGTCCTTCAAGAAACCATTTTTGTTTTAAAAAAAAAGCTCCATTTTTGGCTCATCCGCTAATCTATCGAAGAAAAAATTAGCAGCCCATTTTATACATATGTATATTTCGTACTCTGGTAGCAGTATTTAACAATAACATTAAAAAAGTTCTTATTCACTATGTATGTACATATCGTTCGTTACCTTAATATAGAAAGGCCCTATCTAATTTTTGTGGCATAGTAACTTTTTAATTTAATAAAAATTAAAGTTATTTAGTTACAAATTCTCGTCAAACACTGTTTTTATTAAAGGCTATATGTAGTTTTAATACTTCGTTACTTTTAAATTCTAGTTAAATGGTTAGTTAATAACTTGCTGACTTTTCTACAAAGCTGGATTTCGAAATAAAATGAGTTAGGTCCTTTCGATATTAAGGTAACGAAATGTATGTTCAAATATATGTATGTAGAAAGTACCTTGGTCGAAAACTATTTTCTTATTGCTTTTACGCACATTTACTAGATATGTACGTACTATGCATATTGCTATAAGTATACAACTTACACAGAATATCCAAAATAGAAATTATATTAGAATGAATTCTATTTATAAATACATACAGACTATTAGAGATGGGACTATCCGTATATTCGGCTATCCGGTTATTCGTTTATACCGATATTAAAAAAAATCCGGATAGAACTCGCACCCCTATGTACATATATCGCTCGCTTACCGGCCGTCTTCACGTGCTGGAAAATCTCGCTTGCGTGACGACGCATGCGAGAAACCGCACGTGTAGACCGCAAAAAGTACGAAGCATGCTTTTTATCGCATACCGAGCGGTATACGAAATTCTGTATACGAAATTCTCATTTTCAAAACACTTCGCTAGAAAAAGAGAAAACTATCAACATTTATATCTAAAGTAATCAGGGCTATCACTGAATCCTTCGTAGGCCGATTTTTCGTGGAATCTATGAAAATGCTATCACTGAATCCAATAGCTACGAACGAAAATCGTTTGATCCTTAGCTGATAGCCCAGAATATTAAGTAGATATTTCACGCAGACTAGCAAAAAAAAAAGTAAGTGCGCCTGGGCCACACTGTAGAAGTGAAACTTACGTTACTTATCTATCTATACATACACACATCTGCTTTTGCTTAAGGTTATATTTTTTCGCTTTTTTCGCTATCAATGTAGATCCCTACCTCTACCACTGTTCGTTTTAATAACATCCATGTTATTGTTTTTCCATTATCTTCATACTCTATCGATAGCAAAATCGATTATAACGTCCATCAAAATATCGATAAAAAAATCGATGACAAATTCGATAAAAATTTCAATTGCAACATCGATAATACCATTGGTAGCTAGATCGATTAGAAAATCAATAAAAATATCGATAGCAAAATCGATATATATCGATAACAAAATCGATATATATCGATAACAAAATCGATAAATATCGCTAACAAAGTCGATAAATATCGATAACAAAATAGATAAATATCGATTACAAAATCGATAAACACCGCTAACAAAGTCGATAAATATCGAGAAAAAATCGATAAGAATCGATAACAAAATCGATAATTATCGATAACAAAATCAATGAATATCGATAACAAAATCGATAAATATCGATAACAAAATCGATATATATCAATAACAAAATCGATAAATATCGCTAACAAAGTCGATAAATATCGATAACAAAATAGATAAATATCGATTACAAAATCGATAAACACCGCTAACAAAGTCGATAAATATCGAGAAAAAATCGATAAGAATCGATAACAAAATCGATAATTATCGATAACAAAATCAATGAATATCGATAACAAAATCGGTAAATATCGATAACAAAATCGATAAATATCGATAACAAAACTGATTAAAATATCGATTATTTAATCGATAAGTCTCGAGAATCTCGAAAATCTCTAAAATCCCAAAATAGTTCTCAGATTAAGTCTCTGTGTCTCTCTCTATATCCTTTCCTCTTCAATTACCTTTACTTTAATCTTTCTTCCCCTATCTTCATCTTTACTTTTATCGGTATCCTCGTCCTCATCTTTGTTTTTACTTTTATGTTTATCATTTTCTTCATCAACATATTCCCCTTCACATTTGCCCTTATATATATAAGTAAAGTGTTTAAATTTACCTTGGTCTTCGTTTTTACCTTTATCTTTACACATCTTTGTTTTTGTTTTTATTTTTATCTTTGCCTTTATAATTTTCTCTATCTATGTACGTACTCACCTTTACTTTCATTCTTGTATTGTTATTTCGAAGTGTTATCCTCTAACCTTTTATTAGCAAGTTTTTGTTAAATTCATACCATACTTACTTGTTTACAAGTACTTGTTTCAGCTCCAACCATTTCCGTTGTACCATTTCCGTTGCACCATTTCCGTTGCATCATTTCCGTTGCATAATTTCCGTTGCATAATTTCCGTTGCACCATTTCCGTGTACAGTTTCCGCTGAATTTGCCAATTTACTCCCACCCAACCAACCGCCGCTAAAGAAGTTTCACTTCAAAAAAAATATATNCTCCGTTGTACCATTTACGTTGCATCATTTCCGTTGCATACACATAAGAAGTACTTGTTTCAGCCCCAACCATTTCCGTTGCTCCATTTCCGTTGCACCATTTCCGTTGCATCATTTCCGTGTGCGATTTCCGCTGAATTTGCCAATTTACTCCCACCCAACCAACCGCCGCTAAAGTTTCACTTCAAACAATTTTTAAAAAAGAATAGCGATATTACATGAACGATTAATACTTACCTTTAAATTTATAAAACATCATCCTAGCAATACTTAATGGAGTGTTGGCATACAGTCCACAGACTTTTCAACTTTTAACAGTTTGGTGATCCTTGAACTCATCAGACCCACGAAATTAAACTTGCTCCCACCAAAATAAAATGCTTTCTACCATTCTTTTCGCATCTCATTTTTTTCCGTTTGTTTATTTTTTTACAGAGCTGCAATCGATCTCGAATGTTTTTTCTTCATTGGCGCTGTAACAATCTAAGTGATTTTCGCCAAGTCACTATACGATGCAATTTCGTGCTAAACTGGATTTTTTTATTTTTATTGTGGCGTAGTATTTATACCACAATTTGTTTTGTTTTTCCGGGGCGGAAGCCCAGTATTCGGTTCAATGAATTCTGATCAGAAATATTTCCCACATGCGTGGACTTTTGCAACCGGAATTATCTATTTTATGCACTCGAGTGCATTTTTATGCGCTACGCTCACACGACAATTGGGTCTAAGTAACCGGAATGACCCAAATTTACATCTAAGCAAGGACTGTCACTCCAGCTCACTGCCCAAAAACTCATTGGAGAATTTATATGCTGCTACAACAACATTTTATACACTATGTATGTGCATATCGACGCCACCAAACCATACTATGCCGAGTCTGACTAAGTCTAAGTTGACCAATCAATTATTTAAACCACTGGACCAGTTCTTTAATAAATGTTTTGCTTAACCTGCCAAAATAAATGACAAAAATCTACAAACTCCTCCACACACAAGCAACCGATTGCTAGACAAAAGTTTTTGAGAACATGCAATCCCTTACTACTGTTAAGTGACTCCTGTCTCTAATCCTTGTTTAATCCATACTAAAGTAATTAGTAAGGATTACTACAGTAAGTAGATTTTGCACATTCGCCATTCGTTTTCTGAGGCGACGAAATGAAAATCAGAGGAAATTTCAACAGATTTCTGCGATCTGTGTCTTGACTGTGGCTCGATCTAGTAGTTCATTGAATTTTTCCAAAAAAAAAAATAAACGTTTTATGGAATCGAAATCGGTTCAGCCGTTTGGTCAGGCGTCCTGGTAATACGAAATTTAATATCTATACATACATATATGTACATATGTATATAAACAGATTCAGATCTACCCAACACATGTTTATGAAGACAACCTCTACAAATTTTAAAAATCTCTTCACGTGCTTTGTGAACTAAACATCCCTTTTTTTGTTCCGACGCGCTGAATGCTTAGGATGCTTAAATCCTTAGAATGTCTTCTTCGGGGTTTTCTAATAATACAATAGTTTATTTTTATTTTATTATATTATATATAATATAATTATTCTGCCAAGTAATAATAACAATTTTTTATGTAAATGGATTCCCGTTGCTCTATTTTTCTCGTTTGAATGATTAGCTTTCCATTTATCCTTTCAAATTAATAGTACTGTTGTTTAATAATAATGTGTAATAATTGTAATATAGAACAACTATACCTTAAAGTATTTATATCATTTAAAAGTTTTTCAAAAAAATCCAATCAATATATATCCGCAAGTATACATAAAATTGGTACTCAATAATAAAATAATTAAAAAGACGGAACGATTCAAAAAAACTTGTTGTTGTTGGTTGACGTTTGCCACGTTTGTAATTTTATGTTGAAATAGCTTAATTAAAGACAAAAAAACAATTGACTTTTAGTATCGCGTGGGAAAATGCTTTTAATAGATAAGAATTCAAAATTAGTTTTATATCTTTTTCACACACTTTTCCTTTTCATATTCTACTATTCATGTTCCTAGTTTAAAGATATTTAAATAAATGCCAAAAACAGGAATATTACGCAAACTAAGCAAGAGAAAAAACAAAAACAAAGAAAATTAATAGGATTTTACAATCAAATCGCTAAACATATTTAGTAGGAGCAGCGCAATACTTCGATTTATTTCTTTTTAAACTCTTATCCAAAACGGTAAGAAAATGCATTTGATTGTTTCTATAGATTTGATTTGTAAGCGTTTATGATTTTTTGTTTTAGGGTTTTTTATCTACTTTGCGACATCGAAGACTTTCTTTTATCAAAAGTATATCAAACATTGTTTAGTTTTTTTTTGTTTTGTTTTGTTTTGTTTTGTAAACAATAAATTTTGCTTCTAAATAACGATGGACTTGGTTGGACGCAGTCGATCGAGCGCAGAAGTGCATTCACTTAGTTTGTTTGATTAGATGCTGTAAATTGATGTTGCTGGTTTAATGTTGATGTATACGCTTCTATTGGTCCTGTTGTTCTATACAAAAGACTGGCATCCTAGCCTTACCAGTCACGCTGAAATACTGCGCACCCAACTCCGCGCAGTTACAATTTACATATTTTCAAATTGATCCACACGACGCTTTGTGTTGCCTTTTCGAATTTCGCGCAATGTCTTGTATTTATCGCGGCCTTGACGCACGTTCTCACGGTGAATCTTATCATTTTGCGTCTCCTTCGTTTCGTCACGTGATTGTGCCAAGTCTTGCTTCAAAGCCTAATAATGGCAAAAGACACATCTTATGTTAGTCAACGGCGCAAAATTCGCAAATTATTGTCTTGTGCTTACCTTTAGTTGATCGTGCAGGCGCTCGTTGCGCTCGGCTAGTGTGCGTCTGTCTTCTATGGGGTCCTTGATATGTTCGTCTGTATCCAGATCGCGCGAAACATCGCCGCCACCATCGCCATTCATTAGCTCCTCCTCATTCTCGTTTTCATCCTCTGCTACGTGGTGATGCTGAGGTGTCGTCGATGCAGCCAAAAGCGCTGCTGCAGCTTCCGCCTAAAAGATCGAAATTATATTTTATTGAGTATATCGCAAATATGTATGTATGTATATTTTGTAGCCTAGACAGATCGCAGCGTTAATTCAGATTAACGAGCTAATTTTCTCTAAAACCGGCGGCGTTTTCTATTGTTGTTGCAGAGTAATTAGCGTTGCAGAAATGTAAAAAAATGTGTTAAATGTTTTTTCGTGTTATTTGATTTTGCTTTGTTTGTTTTATTTCATTTCACTTTCTTAACATTTTTCTTAACAAATTCTTCTCTTTACAGAAGAAGAAGAAAAATATTTTAAAAAGAGTATCGAAATCAAGTAGGATTTTTTAAAAAGTGGCATGTAACTCCGTTATTTTTTGTACAACACTTTAAAATTTTAATTGAAGGTGTTCTTTAATACCACCTACCAAATTCTGTGAAAAATGCAGTTTCAAAAAAAGTTTTGGTTAGGGCCTTTGTTAATTACATAGTTTAATTCATTTTATGTTTATATTTTACTTTTATTTAATATTTTTTTGTTTGTTTAATTTCAATAGCAGTGTGCTCTACCATTCCGCCGGGCCTGGGTTCACGCCCAGTTTCCGACCAACATCAAGAAATTAAAAACAAACCAAAAATTCTAATACCTTTCGCTCCTCGTCAGACAGTCGCAAACCTCCGATTGTATTTGTGCCATGAAAAACAGCTTCTCATAAAAATAGAACCCCCGTTCTATTATACTATTATACCTATTATACTCCAAATTTATTATAGTTTAATAACAACCTAATTACATACTTTAATATCATAAAAATTTAAAGAAATTAAAAAAAATATATATATATTTTTCTTTTTAAAAGAATAAAATCTAAAGTTAAAAAAGGGGAAAAAGTTCCGCTGCCCGAGGACTCGGAATCGAGTTCAGATCTCTCAAATGCCGCTGTAGTGCTTTGCTCACTCCGCCATTGGGGCTGGTAGGACAGCAGGAGCAACATGACCTATAGTATCTATGTCTCTATTGTTTCCTTTGCAGCAGCTGATTTCGAATCATCAATGTGCAGCATTCGAAGTAACGATATTTTCGAGTTCACTCGAATTCAGTGAAAGCTATTTTTTTCGTATTCGTAGCATTCATTCGAATTCATAGATTTTCTACGAATGATGCGGCTAGCTTAATCCACAATTCTACCGTCTGCCACGGCACAATTTCAACAACATCAATGCTTTTATAAGTTTACCCACCTGTTTACGTCTGGCTTCCTCCACTTCGTCTTGCAGACGTTTCGTCTCCTCGTCCTTGGCGTTCACCTCGTCTTGGATGCGCTGTACTTCCATTTGTTTGGCCATGATCTCATCCTCCAACTTGGCCTTCTCGGCTGCCTCCATATTCTTGGCTTCCTCAAGGCGTTGCAACATGGCTTGCAGTTCCTTCTGGCGCAGCTCCAATTCGTCCTTGGCTGCCTGCAGTTGACGTAGTTGCTCTTCCAAGCGGCGTATCATTTCCTGTGCTTCCAACAGATCCTTCTGTGAGCGTTCCATTTCCTCTTGCATTTGCTTCAGACGATCCTCATACTCTTGCTGCTTCTTCTCGGCACGTTCACGTGCTGCCAGTGCCAACTGCAGCTTCTCACTAAAATCAGACAATGCGAAATTAATAAAGCTCGAAAATCCCTGTCACCCCCACCCCAACTCACCGTTCTTGTTGCTTGGCGTTTTTCTCCTCACGCGCTTGCGCCTTCATTTGCTGCACATCGATTGTATCGGGTTTGCGGCGTCGCATATACAATTCGTGATTGCCCATGCACAACGCCAGAATACGTTTATTGATGCGAACACGCGGCGCAAAGAAGACGAAGTCGGGCGCTTTCTTGTCAATTGGCTTGATTATGAACTTTTTGTCCGAAAACGAAATGTTGCGGATCTCCGACCAAGGGAAACCGATCTTCGGCGTCAGCTTGTCATCCTGTTCGTAGATGTTAAGACCGAGCGCGTCAACGCCCAACCACAGTTCGGTGCCCTTCTTGTTGCGAATTTCAAAATAATTCACGCCATACATCTCAAGATCCTGCGCGATCTTCAAGTACTCCATCATGGCGTCTTCGCGCAGCATGCCGCGATGCTCCTTCCACCAATTCATTATCGATTGCTCCCATTCGTCCTTGGACATTTTGTGTTGGTCGATCACGCGTTGTGGCAACAGACGGTCATTGGCCAAAAAGCCAGCTGTGTGTACACCCATGTTGTAGTCGCCGTGACGCGCTTGAACGGCGTACGAGGCGAGAAGTACGGATGTTTCTGGTGGACAGTAAATTTCGTCGGACAGTATGGCATTCTTCACTTGCAGATAGAACAGACGCAAAGTAATGTCTTGAATGAGCTCCTCAGCCACATCCTCCGGATAGAACTTGGCGCGGAATCTGAACTGCAGGGGATTCTCCTTCTTCACATCTTGATTTAAAACCTGCCGAAAGAAATTTGTGCACAAATATTAATGACCAACATTTTTTTTTTGTTAACATAAAAACGTAATTTTAGTACGATTCAAATAAACTAGTAAAACAATTACCCATGTGGAGAATGGCATTGATCCAGTCTATATTCATTTAAGGGTGCATTAGTGAGAATGAGAATAGAGTGACACAATAATTTTTTAATATTGTAAAAACAAGAATTCAGCGGAACCAAAAAAAGTTATGTATGTATGAATGAGAGTAAAATTTGAATAAGGGAAAACAGTACTCAGCACTACGCTAAATTGGAAGATACATACTAAATATAATATGATAATTTTAAAATCATAAGTCAAACGAAACAAAACGAAACAAAAAAACAACACTTGGGGTCACAAGAATTACTTTCGTTTAGCGCGTTGTCTACATCCCAACTCAGTTCTAAAGCGGATTTGAAAAACTAGAGATCTGTTCTTGCTTGCTAATGACGCTGTATCTCTTTCGGTTACTTATACGACAGGCTCACCATATCGTCAGCATCGTCGTCTTCGTCGCTAACATCACTGTTGTGTTGGTGGCCATCTGCTGTCTTTTTATCCACATACTTTTTAACGCGTTTCAAGTACTTTATGGTCTTTATGGCCGGTGATTCTGGCTGTACGAATGCCATTGGGTATAAAAATAGTAATTATTGTGCCATTATGTATGTATGTACATAAGTAAATCAAAACGTATTTTTGATTTTCACATATGTATATTAAATAAATTTTAACAAACAAAAAAAAACTAATTGTGTGGACATGATTAGATATGACTATTTGTCTTTTATTTATTTATGGCCTTATTCATAAAAAATAAAGGAGTTTTAAAGAGGTTCATAAAATAACGTTTTCATACATTTTAAAGTTCGTAAACCTTTTTTAAAACGTCTTTATTTTATATGAATAAGGCCATTAATGTTTATTACTTTCGTATCGAGATTTAAGCTTTCTAAGAACTCACCATATAAAATCCGCAAATTTTTACTATAATGGAATTTTGTCAACTTATAAACTTGTATTATTAAAAAATTTAATTTAATCCAGCTCATACGGAATACCTTCATACCCAAAAGTACCGATACCAGTAGGTATCGATACTTTAAATCCGATATTTTTCGTGTATCGATACTTTCTTACGACACTACTTTCAAGTAACGGTATCGTTACCTGCATGTTATCGTTTCATCCCTACTTGCAAGTTTTTGCTAATTTTGAGTTCGCGTACTTTTTTGGATATTTTCAAATTTGAGAGATAATCGTTCGTTGCTCTCCGCAAGTTGCTGAAGGATATTTTACACTGGACATCAGACTGAAAGGCATCCCCAGAAATTAAATTTGTCTGGGTGTTCCGTCAGTGCGCTGAAAGAAGTGTGCGTGTGAGTTGCGCTAAGCAGGGATTTTGCAGGGAAATTGCTTCATGCAAACGTTGCCTGCGCGAGTTCAGGCTAATATGAATTCCCTTTGGCTTTGGCGTCAGTTCTTAATAACTTTGGCTGCAGCATAAGAATACTGTTTCAAATGCTTTGCGTTCGAGGAACTCAGTTTGAAAAACAACTGCTTCTTGGGTGGAACTGAAGTGTGTATTAAAAAAAGGTATCGCCACTTACAAATCTACCAAACATGCTGATAAAATATAAAAAATTACGCATCCTTCTTTATTGAACAAAGCGTATGTATGTACGGCGGAAACACTGGACTTTCATTTTTTTTTATAAAAAATATGTTTCTTATAGAGGTCGCCGCTCGGCAGACAATGACAGATTAGCAAGTGCATTTCTGTCGTGAAAAATTGTATCCTTTGCCGTTCTCATTTATTTTCTGGGCATTGATTGATTTGAAGATCTAACGACGAAAATCTAGATAAGGGAAGTTAAGAGAGAATTAAAGTCCGGACATTTTCCGCGAAAAATGGGAAAGTGGGATGCTGCAAATCAGCTGTCTTGTGGTTCCATGTTGTTTGTATGCATTTTATGTTTTTTGGAGGAATATGACGGTCGTCGGATTTAATATCAGGGCTATCACTGAATCCATCCTAGTCCGATTTTCGTGAAATCTACGAAAATGCGATAACTGAATCCGGAATTGCTATGAACGTATCCATTCAAAGTAGTTATGATGTACATATGTATGTACATACCACATACATGCATATACATATGGGTGTTTCCATGCAGCCGCACGCGACATTCGTACGCTTATGGAGTAACATAAATCTCAGAAAAAGAGAAGTTACTGAAAAACAAGATTACGGTTATCTTGCAAACCCAAGGGTTCTATTTTTAATATTTTTATTTTTTAAATTTTTTATTTTGTACCACGATTTTTTATTAGGAAAAATTGAAAAAGCAACAAAGTCTAAGCGGTAGAATGTTTGGCTCCTCGAAACTTTGGTGTGGAAAATATCAGTTCAAAACAAGGTGATAACGGACGCGACAAAAAAGAAGTAGTTTGAAGGCACATATACATACAGTATCGGTCATATCTATAGCACGCCATTTCAAAGTGATATTGTGTGCAACTTATGTTTATTTATTTATTTTTGAGAATTTTCAATTGAAATACAGTTGTTTCTCTAACAAACCCCACATAAACCCAAGTTTAACAATTTGTAGAAAACTTCAAAAAACTGCAACAAATTTTCACCTAAATTTCAAACTTTTTTCACGGAAGTGTTTGGATTTTTCTGAATACACAGTTTTATAGCCCAATCAATTTTAGTAATGTGCAAGTTTCAAGTGACTGAAAGTTACCGTTGATTTTTTAGAAATTTTTTCGCCAAAGGTGTTGCGGTTTTCATTCACATACAAATAAATTGAGTTAATCCGACAAAAAAAATTCTAAAAAAAATAACGGTAATTCGTAGCCACTTGAAATTTGCACATTATCAGACTAAAATTGCAGTGGCTAAAAAACTGTGTACTCAAAAAAATTCTAAGACTTCCGAGAAAAAAGTTTGAAACTTAGGTGAAAATTTGTTGCCGTATTTTGAAGTTTTCTACAAATTGTTAAGCTTGGGTTTATATGGGGTTTGGTAGAGAAAGTACTGTATTTTAATTGAAAATTCTTAAAAATAAATAAATAAGCATAAGTGGCACACAATATCACTTTGAAATGGCGTGTTATAGATATGACCGATACTGTATATGCGAAAGTCGGCGAATCATGGAAGTTTTTCTATTCTTTAAAAAATTCCTAAACTAAGCTAAATGATGTACCTTTACAATCGTTCCATTTTTTAATAGAAATTAACTCTGGTTAGTTTTTATTAAAAAAAAAAAAACAATAACGTACGCAACAGATTTTTACCCCATAGAATATTTTTACTAGTAACCCACACTAAATTAAATTTTTAATTTAATTTTTTCAGTTCTTCTCTCACCCCGGTTCGCGTTTTCAAAACCTTTTTCCGCCATCTGAATACGAAATTTAATGTTATAAAGCCGTTTGAATTCATTTGCTTGCACTTTCGGTTTACATTTTCATGGAAAGACCCATATGCTACGTGCGTAGCTGTTCCGAGTTCAGTGATAGCATTTTCGTAGCTTTCAGTGATAGCCACCGAGTAATAAACCGAAATACTCATTTAGGGGATTCACGTGACATGTTAAGCGTCGTAAAATCTTAAGCTTAACATTCTTTTATATAAAATAACGGTTAAAATGATTTTAGGTGGGGCTAATTATATTTTTTATCAGTTTAATAAACATTTCGGTGTAGTTAGAAACGCTCTAAAACCATTTTAATCGTTATTTTACATAAAAATATGTCAGGCTTAAGATTTTACGATGGTTAACACGTCTTGTGAATTCCCTAATTATAACAAAGAGTTTCGTAATTCGAAATCAAATAGCAAAAATATGTAAAAAAAAAAAATAATAATAAAACTATTTTTAAAATGACTTCAGTTGAACTTCTTACCTTTTTGTAAAGTTTAATCCATGTTAAATCACCCTTTGAGTCGGTGTATTGCAGGCCAAAGAACCAGACCTCGCGCAAACCGATCGTTTTGACGACCTGGTCGAAGAGCTGTTTGCCGGTGGTCGTGTGTTGTATGGCAAACTCCAGCTCGGCGTCCATGGTGGTGACGCGTACATTTAGCTGCCGAAAGAAAAGTAAAAAACGACCGATTAAATATACATACATATATTTCATAAGTAGATAATCGTGAAATAAACAAAGCAAAAAAACAAAAACAAAATACAAAGTGAAAAGTGAAAAGCCAACACGCGACATGAAAACCCCTGCATGTCGAGTAGAGCGATATGCAAAAAAAAAAATAGCGGCGGGGGATGGCCAGTAATGATTGGCAGTTAGGCGGAAAGGAATTCACAAACACCATTAAATGCTTCCGAATCGTTGGCATGTACAGCAGATGAGTGGGGTAAGGGCCTATATAGCGACAAATTGGTGTTTGGATTTACTCGTATCTTTTTTATTGCTGCTAAGCGATTATGCAACGGCGTCTAATTTGTGTGTAGTATGTATGTACATGGATCTATCGATTGATTTTTATTATATTTTGCATTCATTTCATTCATTTTTGTTGTTGTCAAAGAGACAACGATAAAAATGGCAATTTTCGTTTGCGTGCGATAGCGGCTACGCGGAACAGGCGACACACAGTGGGTCTGAGAGTGGCAGAAAGTCCTAATTTCCAAATGTGTCGAGATATCCAACGAAGCGGTTGACTCGATTCTAAATATGTCTACTAACAGGTTTTAAGGAATTTTTCCTGAGAAAACTGCTCTAGCAATTATCAAAGGCCACAGGAAATCGATGTTGTATGAATAGAATTTTTACGTACGAATTTGAATACGCATTTTACGGAAGCAGCAATGATAGTTGAATGATCGATTGAAACTGAGTTTGTTCTCATCTTTAATATTAAGTTCAATAGAACGCAAGGGTGCCTCCAAATCAGGTTCTCATAATTTTTGCTAGTCCTTACAGAGTTAAAGAGATTTCTGTGATATTATGCCTTTTTAGTGTTTTTCTGGACAGCATAAGTAACAGGGCTGCCAACTATACTTAGCTATGAAGTGCCATATGAAGGATAAAAAAGTGCCAAAATGTGCCAAATAGAAAAATAAAAGTGCCAAAAAAGGTGTAATTCTTTTTAATTTTTCCCATTTAGCATTCAAATTAGAAACACATTCCTAAAACAAAAGTCCAATGCCAAAGTGAGAGAAACCAGTTGTATACACTATAGAAATTTAAAAATTTTAGTCGATAAAAAGAAGTACTTGCAAAGGATTTTACAAAAATGAACTGAAATATTACTATTTTTTTTTTTGAAGTAAAATAGGGCCAAAAATTGCACGGTTTAAGCCAAGGAAAGAAAAAGTATGAAAACTGATAAAAATTGGCGAACTGCCACGCCCACTACACTAGGGAGCGGATATGGTAAATGTTATCGGATTTCATTGAAATTCGGTTTGTCGGATTAACCTGGGATTTATGTTTCCGTACGTTGCGCAACTGCTGTAATGGTAGAAATAACCATACTTCCCATTCACACCCACTAGTGAGACGTGGCTGGTCACCAACACACACTATTTTTATGCAAATATAGATATTGCACCAAATTTTACCATTTTTTAGATTTGTGCCTTGCTAGGTTAATCCAAGTTACAAACCCAATTTCATTGAAATCCCATAACATTTACCATATCCGCCCCCTAGTGTAGAGGGCGTAACAGTCCGCTAAATTTTAAAATTTTTCATGTTTATTCATTCCTAGGCAAAAGTTCTTCACGCTACTATTTTTAGCAATTTCTACTGTTTGCAAAAATTTTTATGAGGCCCTTCCACTGTGCGACACTTTTATACATAAATGCATGTGTTTACAAGCGAATTTTGCATTGGAATCAGTGTTGGCATTTTTGGTACAATTGTACTTTTTTGATACAATTTGGTTTACAATATACTTTCCTACTACGCAGTACTTTTTAGTACAATTTTATGATGAATACTATATATATAGCTCTGAAAATTCACTGCGCGAATTTTTCTTTTTGTCTTCGCCTTCTCGTTCTTGCCTTTGTAAGTTTTGAAAAAAGGTTTTGAACGAACAATTATAACATAGCACAAGGTGTGCTATCAACCTCACATTCCTAGGCAAGTTTTGAAAGAATATTTTCGATACTAAACTTTATTAAAGTAAAATGTTGAGATCAGCTTCGTATAGAAAAAGTATCGTCGTTAATTAAGGAGATGTTCTTAAATATCATAACTTTACGACACTCACATATTGACTAGATTGGACTATTTATTTTATTAAGCTTTAATTTTAATTATTTGTTTATAAAAATATAGTTTATCCCTTAACAAAAACTGTATGAAAATAAGTTAAAATCTTTGAACATTAAAAAAAAAAATCGACAAACTTTCGTAAAAATTTCGAGCTTTCAATTTAAATTTTTTTTAAATATTTTGCAGTCTTTTAGCTCACTAAATTTTAGTATAATAAAGTGCAAGTTTAAAATAGCTGGGATTTGCCGTTGATGTGTGGCATTTTTTTGACCATGTCGGTCATTTTCTTCTATATTATCTAAGTATGTTCGACGTTTTTTTAATGAAGAAAATGAGCAACACCTTCATCAAAAAAAAAATATATATATATATTAAAAATCATCTCTATTTAAATTGACCGGGCTACAAAACTGCATATTCAAAATATGTATTTCTAGGAAATTAATTAAAAATGTTTACGAAAGTTTGTTAATTTTTTTAATGTTGTGCAAAGATTGATCCTTGGATTTATACGGGTTTTGTTAAAGTATAAACTGCATTTTTATATACAAATTATTAAAATTAAATATTTTTAAGATAAATAGTTAAAAGCTAAATATTGTCAATATTTACGTGTCGTAAAGTATTGATAAGCACTTGAAATATTAAAAAGCAAAGTTTTAGTACTGAATTCAAAGAAGATGTCTCTTTTATCCATTCATAATAACTTAAAAAAAAAAAAATGTTTAAGAAGTGTACCTTAAAATAAGTGCATACACATTTACGTTAAAAGTATTAAAAATTTAAATGTACCTACATCAACTTTCCCATGCATACCATCAAATTATTGGTCTTGTAGGGAATCTATATATGCATGTACTAAGAAAATATATGAGCAAATAAAAAAGTCGATACAAAGTACAGTCGAAAAGTACAGTTTTTGTATAGATTTCGTACTAAAGGAACAATCTGATTTCCCAACACTGATTGGAATATCAATGGCAGCGACACAACAGAGGCATTAGAAAGTCGCGAGCGCGAGGAGTGTCACACTTAAATGCACGTGATGTCACACTCATACCACTGCCAAGGCAGGTAAACACAACAACAAAAAAACCGCATAACAAGCGATCAGAGGGGGGAGGGGGGGAGTATGTAAATAATTGAACAGCGGTCAAGAAAAGTACTTACACTCGATAGATACTAGTCGAGTTCGAAAAGCAAATTGAATGCATGCGCTTCCCTTGCATTCTTAACACCTACATACATACATACATACATAGGTATGTACATATGTATCAGCTGTTGGCTGGATAGCATGTGACAAAAACCTTTGGATTTCACAGAGTTGATAGGGACGTACTTTTAGGTCTTGTAAAGCTTGCATAACCAAGCACACTTATGTAAAATAAATGCAAGAGTGTGATCAAATAAATAAGAGCTTTGTTAATTCTACTGCTTTCAAAAACAAAACAAAAAACAAAAAGTATTTTCAGTGTACAGCGCAGTTTTTCTCTTCTCTATTGGCCTAATATGAGATCAAACATGCGAGCATAATTAATGGTATAATAGGTACATATAAAGGGTTACCCCAAAATTATTGAAACATAAATACATAGGATATGGTTATTTATGGAATAGCACATTGCGCACATGACCTCTCGGATCGTACAGTAACTGCTTAACCAACCTCATTATCAAAAGTGTGGGGTTCAATGAAAGCTCCAACTGAAAATCAGCACCGAACCATGGAACGTGGTGGAGGCATTTTTTCGACAATAGCATGTGCGATCTTTGAACCTCGAATGGAGCAATTATTAGTGATGCGCTGAATTGCCGGTACCCAATACTTCAGAAAGATTTTGGTATCCAATACTTCCTTTTCGGTACCCAATACCGATTATATACACACATTAAACTTTCGACATAAAATAAATTTCCCGTTAAGAAAAAAAAAATGTATTGTTCTTATATATCTGCGATATTGCCTAAATAACAATGCGGCGTATTCAGTAGCTGCAGGTTTTTGACATAATTTTTAACAGAATATCTGTTAAAAATATCTAATGCATCGACTTTATTTCGACTATGAATATGCTTCACAATTAGTACGAATAGGACGATGCTTTCCCAAAAGTATAACAATTTGTACTGAACAATGTGAAAACCACGTTTCGAAAATATTGCCTCGAAACAATACTCTCATCGCCTTCTTGACCTTATCGCAACAGTAAAATGCCATTTTTTCAGGTCCCCCCTTCGTAGATATATATGTAATTCAAGAAAATTGCTTTGACGGATGAAGAAGTCGTTCAGGCCTACAAAGACAACATCGTCCGATTCATCTAGAAAACAAAAAATTCTCTGCATTGTGGCGACGGAAATCAGCATTAAAGGCTCTATTAGCCCCTACACTCGGTTTTTGATAGGCTAAGCTCCCCTGAATCGCTTTTATTCCTTATTTTTGGTCTAAATGCGTTCTTACTGGAAGCCTAATCAATTCGTTACCGAGTATCGAAAGTATTGAATACTTTTTAAATCGGTACCGAGTATCAATCAATACTTAAAAGTATCAACTCAGCACACCACTAGCAACTATGAAAATGAAATGTTTTTTTACATCTTGCGTGAATTTTGGTACACCCTTTGCGTAGGTATATCTTTACATAGAATATACATACATATGTATGTACCCTTGGCTCTCTGAACTATGTACGTGCATAAATGTCATTCATTTGGAAAAAAAAAGAAAATATGCATACATTGGAGATATTCACAGTTCGTTCCAAAATGGGTTACAAAATGTTGACGACAACATTTACAAATTTCAATATGAAATTCATGTTCATGAAATTGTACATA